TACAAATTTTACAAATAAATTTTGTAATATAAAATTCAATAAAAGTCCAAATTTATATACGATTGTCAAGAAAGATATAATTCATTATGATGTACAAGTTTACTTATAACACCAAAGTCAATTTAATTAATAAAAAAAATTTTTTTCTTATGACGCTAATATATGTATTATTATTCCGATTTTGGTAAAGTCGGTCATTTTTGCTAGGTGAGTGTACCTTCTTTTAAAGCCTCATTCATCTATAAATTTAAAATTAAACTTATGTTTGAATTACTCCTATACTAGAAATTCTCAAAATAAGATACCCAGATTTTTATGATCAATCATGAAATTATCTTAAATGCTTGTCTACTCATAAAACATTTGATCACATTTAAACTTATAATAGTACTGAACTTCAAATTAGTGTTATCATATTCTTCACTAAACAATTTTTACTTAACAATTAACTATGTTAACTTCTGATATTCAAGACTGTTCTGATCTATTTAATATGAATATTTGATTCTTGAATGATTAAATTGGCTTCTTTAATTTCATTGACTTAATAAAAGGAATTATACATTTCTTCTTGTTTAACAAAACTTATTATCTTATTAACAATCTCCAACTTATAAATAGACTTCTTTTCTTTACTTATCATCATACATTCTCTGAAGTAAAAAACCTTTAGTTTGATCAATATAATACTATTAAATAAATTTGAAAACCTTAATAATATTTTAATAAATGACTGAAAATCATACTTCATCAATACTGGCTTCTTCTTATCAAACTTACATTCTTTTATTATTTTACTTTATATTCTCTTCTCTTTAGGTATAGTACAAACTGATCAAATTTTTAGATCAGTAGTAACTAAACCTCCTATACTAGATGGTTAAACTTATTTTAATTTAATTTAGGTAAGGTAATCTAAAATAGTGTAAGGTTGATTTTGATTTAGTTTTATTAACTAGATAAAAATTTTTCTTTTGTAATTTGTAATTTTATAAAATTTTACTTACTTTTAATAAAGATTATATAAGCTACCGCATGTTAAACAAAAAGAAGATGGAGAGAATATTTGATTTCAAAATCTATTTTTTTAAATACAAATGGACTCTTTGCAATAGAAAGAGAGAAAACTACTAAAAAAAATTTTTTTTGCTTTATAAGCTAAATATTATTTTTTTAATAAAATAAGTTCAGATTTAATATTAATTCAAAAAAATTTTTTTTTTAGTAGTTTTTTCTTTTTCTATTGCAAAAAATCCAAATAAAAGTTTATTTAATGAAAAAAACACACACAAGATTTATTTATTAATTTACCTTCTTTACTTATCAAGACTAGATAGAATTCTTAGTTTAAATTTTAATTTGGATAAAAAATTATTATCAACATATGATTACTATTTTTATTAAAATCTATAAAAAAAAATTCTAAAGTTATTTAAGAATTAAAAGAGATTTTTCAAAATCAAAGTCAGTTTTTATATAGATATTTTAATTAAATTTATTTCATTTAATGCACAAAGGTAAATATTAAAAATATTTTTATTATTTTATTATTAATGAAATATAAAAATTAAAATTTTAATATTTTTTAGATTAGTATTGGATCTTGAATTTTTTAAAATAAAAAATTTGGCTATTGCTTCTTTTGTTTTTTTAAGAATTAAACAAACAAGAGTATTTTTGTAAAATAGAATAAATAATTTACCAATTAGTATAAAAATGATACAATTATTATTTCAGAATTATCAAAATTATAAATACCTTATTCCAATTTTTTCTAAAGCTTTTAAATTAGCATTAAAAAAATTTGAAAAATATATTTTAACCCTCAATTTATTCAATCATCTCAAAATAGACATATTTTAACTAATTATAACCTAATTCTAGAATTTCAAAATCCTTCTAATTCTATTATAACTGAATGGGCAATTTATTGTGGTTTGGTAGAAATTTATGAGAAGGGTGATTTGAATTTAAATCAATATTGGCAAGAAAAAAAAAAGAATTTTTCCAAATTTATCAAGTATTGCATTAGTTTATATATAGTATAGTTACCTATTTCAGGAGTTGATGTTGAATGTAATTTTTCTAATTATAAAAGAATTTTAGATGATAGACATAGATCACTTTCAGAAAATTCTATTGAAATGTTAAATTTTTTATATTATAACTAGTGAAGCATTTTAAGCGTCACGCTTTCTTTTTTTTGTATTTTTTGTATTACGCGACTGTCTGCGCTTGTGCTACATCGTATTTTATTTTTTTCATTATTTTAGGAAAAAAAATGATGATATTAAAAAAGTTGTTGATCAGTTTTTATTATCGATAAAAAAATGTTGCTTTTTATTTATTTTATTTTTCGTTAAGTGATTAAATTGAAGGATAGAAGGAATTGGAGAGATTGAATGTGATTTTTGTGAGATCTATTAAATATTATGTAATGGGGTGGTAAAGTTAGGAGTGTACGATATATGTGATGTTTTGTCTGTTTGGTGAGTTTTTTTTGTTTTGTTTTGTTTTAGAGGGTATGTTTTTTTATTATTTTTTTTTTTGATTTAGGGTTGGGGAGGTTTTGTAGTCGGAGTTTTTTGATGTTTTTGATATTTATTGATGTGGAGGGAGATTTTATTTTTTTTGTTTTTGTTGTTTTTGTTGTAAGTATGGTTAGATCGGTAGGGGAGTTTTGGGTATTTTTTCGAGCCTTTGGTATTCTGTGATGATGTCCAGGTCAGTTATAAAAGCGGTTCTTTTGAGTGTAGGGATTTGTACGTGATTCCAATTAGAGCATCTGCTTAGTGCAACGTATGCTTGTCCTGATGAGAAAATTTGATCATCTAAGCTTACGGAGATGTCATTTAAGGTGAGACCCTGAGTCTTGTGAATGGTCAGGATGTAGGAGTTTTAGATTGGGAACTGGTAGCGGCTGGCTTGATTGCCGTTGATGGTAAAGTAATTAGTGGTTGGTTCGATATTTGTGTCTATGATTCCTTCTGGTACGTTGAATGAGACTCAGACTAGGTTTGTCTCTTTGTCGATGTCTGTGATGATTCCGATTTTACTGTTGTAGATGTTGAGGCTTGCTTTGGAATTGTTTAGGTACATTACTCTTGCATTTTGTTGAAGTCATACGGTGGATGGTAGGTTCATTTTTGATTTGAAGGATTTTTCTGTTATGTCTGGGTCTCAAAGATTTTCATTTATGATGTCGATGGCTTGAGAGATGATGAATTTATTTTGAGTTGTTGGTAGGGTGTTGTAGACTAGTCGGTTTATCTTGTCTGCAGTTTCACAGTATCCTAATATATTTGTTGTGTTGAGTAGGAGTTCGATCGGCCTGTTGGGTCGAATTGTTCGTATTTGTTCCTTAACTTTTTTCAGATTTCTTCGATTAGGTTGCTTAGGCGTATGTTTTGTAGCATGTCGTAAAATTCGGACTGGCTTTGTTAACGTTGAGGTTGGTGTAGGATGAGTGAGTGGAATAGTTTCCATATTGAGGATTTAAATACTTAGGATCCACTTACTGGTAGTAGTTGAGCTAAGTCCCCAGCGATGATGATACTAATACTTCCGAAGGCTGTGGTGTTTTGGTGGATAGTGGCGAATGTGTTTGAGATGAAATTTAAGAGTTCCGCAGATACCATTGATATTTCATCGATTATTATTACATCGATCTTTCTCAGTTTATCTTTGAGTTTATCGTCATGAAGTGCTAGAGTATGAAAACCTGTCTGTGTTGAAGATAATTTTAGGGTGAAGTGGATGGTGCTTCCTCCTATATTTTGAGCGGCAATGCCGATGGGTGTCATTAGGAGGTAATTTAGTTTGTCATTTTTTAACGAGTTTATTAGTAGGTAGAGAAGGTAGGATTTTCCTGTTTTGGCGGATCCAGTGATGAAGAAATAGGAGTATTTTCATGCGCTACTTCTTCCTAAAAAGAATCTGAGAGTGGACATAGCGAGGTCTTGATCGTATGGTAGTTGGTAGATGGTGTTTTCAGGGAGTATTGGTGGAAGGATTTTTAAGGAATCGAGTTGAATTCTTAAGATGTTCTCTATATTTTTTGGGATGATGCTCTCTAGGTTTAATAGTAGTTGGTCTAGAATTTCAGAGTATTTCAGATTCATGATTCGTCTTATTTGTTCAGTCCGGTCTTGTGTATTCTGTCAAATTTTTCTGTGGCATTTGGGAACATTGAGATGTAACAGTCTCAGTATATTAGATGGCTATTTTTTAGTTCGTCTTCGCTTCGAGTCGGGATAGTTTTGAGTAATAATTAGTAAAAGTATAGTTCTCTATCAGTTGCTTTTAGGAATCGGTGTCGTACTATGATTGGTTTGGCTTTTTTAATGACGCAGTTTCTGAGTTGGTCTTGGTATGAATCTCTTCTTGTGTTCGTTGGTCTGCTTTTTTGAATGGTGTAGGTTTCGAAGTATTTCCCCCGTAATCATCAAATTTGAGCTTTTTTTTGCTCTCACAAGTTTTTTGTCAATTCTTTCATCTGACTTGAGGTATCTGCACTTGATGAGAAATTTTTTTCCTGAGCTTTTATCTTTGATGAATTCAGTAACAAGTATCTTAATACTTTTGAATAGTTCGTCGTCGCTTTGAACTGGTTCAGTTGCAAATCCCATTACAAATGTTGAAATAGAGCTGATGGGAAGATTTTCTTGATTCATATCAATTAAATCTCCAGAGTTCGCTACTATCTAATTATCGAAAGATTACGGTAAATATCTTCTCTATTATTTTATTGTTTTATTTTTTTAAAAAAGAGTTAGATTTTCTTACTTCTAGCTTATCATAAGAGGGGTTTTCGTCAAGTGTGTACTTTCCTGTAAATCTTAATATATTTTTAGATACGAATATAGGAACCCATTTGGGTATCAAAGAACTTTTCAGAAAAAAAGCTATTATTCTAACATCCAAACTTTCGTTATCTTCTCTTCTGATTATACCAATTGCTTCTCTTATTACGTAATCGAGAGAA